TGTAAGGGCGCTCCTGGGTGGCTCAGTCAGTTGAGCGTCCAACTTCGGCTCAGGGCATAATCTTGCGGTTTGTGAGTTCGAGCCCCACATCGGCTCTGTGCTGGCAGCTCAGAGCCTGGAGCCTGCTTCAGATTCTGTCTCCTCTCTCTGCCCCTACCCCGCTTGTGCTCTGTCTCTCTCTATCAAAAATAAATAAATGTAAAAAAAAATTTTAAAAACCCAACAAAACCTGTAACCAAGGAGTTCCTGGTTGGCTCAGTCATTTAAGTATCCGACTTCAGGTCATGATCTCACAGCTCATGAGTTCAACCTTCGCTTAGGGCTCTGTGCTGACCGTTCAGAGCCTGGAGCCTGCTTCGGATTCTGTCTCCCTCTCTCTGCTCCTCCCCTGCTCATACTCTATCTCTCTTTCTCTCTTTCAAAAATAAATCTACATTAAAAACATTGTTTTAAAGAAAACATATAGACAACATTGTACTTAGTAGTGAAAGACTGAATATATTTTTTCCCTAAGAGTAGAAACAAAGGGACTGTAGGCAGTCCTTGGCTTGCTTATACCTGCGTTACTGGAATCTCTCCATGGTTTTCCTGGTTGTATCGATGTCAATATCCTGGTTGTGATATTATACTGTAGGTTTGTAATATCTGACGATTGTGGTAACTAGCAAAGGATACATAGGATTTCTGTGATGTTACAATGTCACATGAATCTGTAATTACCTCAGAATGAAATATTTAGCTGAAAAAAAATTTTTTTTGACATTTATAGTTTTTGAGAGACAGAGCATGAGTGGAGGAAGGGCAGAGAGAGGAGACACAGAATCTGAAGCAGGTTACAGGCTCTGAGCAAGCATTCAGCACAGAGCCCAATGCAGGGCTCGAACCCACAAACTGTGAAATCATGACCTGAGCCAAAGTTGGACACAACCGAATGGGCCACCCAGGTGCCCCTGAAATATTTAGTTTTAAAAATCATATTTGCTGAGGCAAATACCTGGTAGCTCAGTAGGGTAAGCATCTGACTCTTGATTTTGGCTCAGGTCATGATTTCATGGTTCGTGAGCTCAAGCCCCATGTCTGGCTCCGCACTCTTAGCCTGGAGCCTGCTTGGGATTCTCTCTGCCCCTCCCCTGCTCATGCTCTCTGTCTCAAAATAAATAAATAAAACTTAAAAAATATTTTAAGTCATATTTGCTATTCTTAAGGGTTATACAGTGGATGTATCTTCAGAATGCTTCATTGGGCCCGTTGCTGAAAACAAATATCTTAAATTGACTTCCTATAATATTTTTTCCATTGTAATGCTCTAAACATAAAAATACAAAAATGTTTCAGACCTATAAAAATGTACTGGTCTCATTTTTTTTTGTTTTGTTTTATTAAGTCCAGAAAAGTTTGGACATTCTTTTATGACCTCTTGAAGAATGCAAGGTACATATAATTGAATACCCTTTAAATCATATGAAAACAATAAAGTGTCTCCTTTATTTTCAAGAGATCAACAATAAGACTTAAAAAAGAATTTTTTGTAATGTTTGTTTATTTTTGAGAGAGAGAGAGACAGACAGACAGAGTGTGAGCAGGGGAGGGGCAGAGAGAGAGGGAGATACAGAATCCAAAACAAGCTCCAGGCTCTTAGCTGTCACCACAGAGCCCGATGCAGGATTTAAACTCACAAACTGTGCGAGATCATGACCTGAGCTGAAGTCGGATACTTAACTGACTGAGCCACCCAGGTGCCTCAGCAATAAGACTTTTTTTAAAAAAAATTAATAAAGGTTCTTTGAAACTTACACTGCATGAACAATATTTTAAGTGATAAAATTATACAAGAGTAATGACGGAACCATTCTAAGAAATTTAAATTTCAAAATTTGAGAATATAGTATGAGCAGTAAACACTGAATTAATGTAATACAGAACTATATGAATTATATCTCACAGATTAAACTAGAATTCAGTACATTCTACTGGGTCTGTCTGTCCTTTACTTCATTTATTGAATCACATTAATTCCAAATAATTCATAGGCAAAAATAGAATTGACTTACAGTTTTGGGAGCTTAGCTCTTATCTCTGATTAACATTAAATATACTCTACTTACCACAAAAAAAAAAAAAAAAAAAAAAAAAAAAAAAAAACCTGTGATGAAAATCACCAAAGGAATAGAATCATATACACAACAAATATATATAGGCTTAAAATATCTTAATTTCTCTGTGAGCGTCTATATGTGAACCATGTGATATATGTATAAATATTTATATTCACAAAGGCATCTATAAAATTGAGGTTATTTTTCAATAACTCTATCTCAGTATAGATTTGGTTACCTTATAAATCTGAAGACTATGTTGCTTTAAGCAGTACTTTCTCAAGCCTGTATTCATCACATTTCTCTTTTAACAGCCCAAGAACATTATTATTCCTGATTATTCTGTTTGATTCATTCAAAATACACCAAAAGCTAAAATAAAAAAACAAACAAACAGGTATTAGAAACACAATGTTTCATACTGTTTTCTTGATAAAACCTGTTTCCCTTCTAAAGTGTTCAACCTTATATATAAAATATACTTCTTCAGGCCCTAGTAGTCCTCACAATTGCATAGTTAAGGAAAACTTTGCAAAAAAAGTAGACTTCCCTTTGTAATAACCATAATTTTCTTTTTTTAATACATGAAGCTTATTGTCAAATTGGTTTCCATAGTAGTAACCATAATTTTCAAAACAATATCATAACACTAAATTCTAAAGTTACTTTTAGTCAATTGAAAGAAAAAAATGGAGTCTTTTCAGTTAATTATATACACAATTGCTAATTTAAATGATAGTCTGAAAGATTCCACACCTGAAGAAATTGCTTATGTTAATTTGCAGTTACAGGAGTTTTTGTACATACTGTAGCCTTGTATTAGCCAAGGTTCTCTAGAGAAACAAACCAATAAGATACATGTATAGATATATGAGGACATTTATTATAGGAAATGGCTCCCACAATTATGGGAATGAGGTCACTGGTATAATTCCTCATTTTCCAGAACCAGTAACTCTGATGTCCAAGAGCAGGGGAAGATGCATTCCACAGCTGAGAAAGAAAGAAAGTGATTTCACCGTTGTCCACCTTTTTGTTCTGTTGGGCTTTCAATGGTTTGAATAATGCTCCACCCACATCAGTTAGGGCTGTCTTCTTCACTGGGTCTACTGATTCAAATGCTAATCTCTTCCACAAACATCCTCACAGATACACCTAGAAACAATGTTTTTTCAGCTCTCTGGGCATCCCTTTCTCCAGACAAGTTGACACATAAAATTAAGTCTTATGCCTGTGAGGATATTAATTTTTTTTTTCATTTTATGTGAAATATGTATCATTGATGTCAAGTTTGTTTTTTTTGTTTTTTTTTTTTT